CTTTTTTTTTTCTTTTTGAGACAGGGTCTCACTATGCAGTTCAGGCTGGCCTTGAGCTCACTTTGTAGCCCAGGTTGGTCTGGAACTTGCAACTATCCTCCTGACTCAGTCTCCCGAGTGGTGGGATTACAGGTGTGTGCCACCACGCCAGGCTTTGGACATTATTTTCTTTAAGTAATTGATTAATTTATTTTTTGCTGGACATGGTGGCACACATCCATAATCTCAGTTATGCAGAGGCTTGAGGCAGAAGGTGAGAAAGTTAGAAGCCAGTCTGAGCAACTTTTCTCTTTTCTTTTTCTTTCTTTCTTTCTTTCTTTCTTTCTTTCTTTCTTTCTTTCTTTCTTTCTCTCTCTCTCTCTCTCTCTCTCTCTCTCTCTCTCTCTCTCTCTCTCTCTCTCTCTCTCTCTCTCTCTCTTTTGAGACAGGGTCTCACTATGTAGTTGAGGCTGTTCACAAATTCACAATCCTCCTGCCTCAGCCTCTGAAGGTCTGGAATTAAATATGAGCCACAACATTCTGCTCAACTTCGGTAATTGAGCAAGACCCTGTCAGAAAACAAAAATAAAAAGGGCTGATGACATAGCTCAGTAATAGAGTGTCACTGAGTTTGATTCCCAGTACCAAAATGAAAAAATACTGATAACATAAAAACACAAGAATTGTGCACATTAGTGGGGTACCACATAATATGTGAAACATAAATGTTGTGTAATGTTGAAATCATATTTATCTTAAAGGTTACTGATCAAAAATATGGTGATTTTTCCAATTAAAAATTACAGTAAAACATATTACCACATTAGTCTTCTTCAAAATACCTAAAATACCTCGCCTCACTTCAAACATAATTACCCTATAATTCTTGGCGGTATGTCTTTTACTGTAATAGGTCCATTAAGAAAATAAACTTTCACCATAATTTTTCATCACCAACTTTATATTTATCTCTTCAAACATTTATCATTTCTTTATAAAAAGGGTCGGCATTATCTTTTAATTTTTATTAGAAAGAGCCTTTGGAGATTAGGTGTTCTTTTTGGAACTTGTCATCCCCAAGGATGGATTTCTGTGATAAACCGGAGAGCTATGTCAGAAACAGGAGGGAAGGGCCACGCGATATTCAACAACTACAAGGTGCTCGTATGAATGCATCATTTTCACAACCATGCTGCCGGCCGGGCTGTCACTGAACAGTTGAAGAACTGGAGGTTTATAGAAATTAAGTATCCCGCGGAAGGTTTCCAAATTAGTAATAAAGTCAGTACGGGAACTCGGTTTTCTGCCTCGAGCTTATTCATCTTTGCGCTCCTCAGTGTCTGTAAACTGCGGCGGGTCCTGGGATCACCTGAGAAGCTCACAGGAACCAGTTCTCTGGGCCCCACCCGCCGAGGTCCTGATTCACCACTTCTGGGGAGGAGCCCAAGTATTTGCATTTCCAGCCGCCTCCACTGCAGCCGGTCTGACGCTGCACTCTCCCGGGCTGCTTGTGCGGGTCCGAGGATGGGATTGTTGAGAGCTTAATACTGTGAGAACATCTTTGCGGAACAGCGCTCACAACCTGTCAGAGCAGCTGCTGATGGATTGAGGCGGAAGGTAGTTCGCAGGGCAGTATCGAGAGAGAACGCATCTGACAGAGGTTGAAGTATGATAGCACCTATTCTGATTCGGCTTGAGATAGGCGAGGAGAGAATCGAGCACGCCCTAAGAAGCAACTAGAAAATTTCAGCTGGATGCAAAGTGTTCTGTTCCTTGCCTAGTTTAGAAGGAGAGCTCCTTAAAGAGGGAGGCAGACAAAGGACTGTCCACAGCAATGTCTCTCATTGTTCTTTGGCTCCAGCTGCAACTGCACACTCATGCTGACTTCATCCCACATGTGAACCAAACCCCGACTTAACTAGACCAAAAGCTGTTTAAGGGAAAAGGAAGTATCACACATAGGAAGCTAACGTCTTTTCCCTGACTCCGTTGTCATGCTGGGTTTTTATTAAAAATATTTGCGATCTCTTTTCTCTCAGCGGAGGGGAGGGGGAAGAGAACAGCTTGAAATCACTTAATTCAGAATCTGCAGTGTAAATTGCTACAGTAGGCTTGAGTGATTTGATCATCTCCAGCTATGGGATTTGGTGACCTGGCTCCCCAGAGAGGATGACACAGCGCGGGGACCAGCACAGGCAGCTAGCCCGGCTGTGTAGACAGCAGAGATTCGAAAGTCCTTGTTGAGGTCACTGGTGCTGAGTCCTCTTAATAATTCAAACAGGCCTGGGTATACCTCGTCTGTGTAGAAGCCAGGCAGCCCTGGGGACAGGGAAGAGACAAGCAAAGCACTGGCTGTCCTCTGCTAATGAGACCTTATCCTCCTCAAGAAGCTTTTGATCCTTTTCAGGGCACTTTCATGGATATTAACTCACGCACAAATGAAATGTTCTTCATATGAAACGAGGTGCAAAGCAGAGAGGTGAGTTAGCTCAAATTGTGGACAGCTTTTGTGCAGCGTCAAGGACGGCACTAGGGAGTGTGCTAAAGTGACAGTGAGTCTGAGTGAAGTACACACATGTGGAAGAGACAAACATGCAGGAAAGGAGGAAGGAAATAAGACAGGGCCAAAGGGAAAGCTGATTGGCCTTCTACCCATCCGAACTCTGGAACCGAACCCAGTCTTCTGGCAACTACATTACCTTCTGTGTAAGGGTGGAGCCCCTATTTCCCAATCACTCCCCTCTTCAAGGTCTGGAGACTTCTCAAAGCTGTTACATCGGCAAATAAATTCCAGTGTGAATTGGGGGTGGGGAGGAGTAACACCCACACCGAGCAGGCAGGAAAACAAAACATTCGGATGTAAGGGTAATCATATAATTATAATCAAAGGCACACCACCTTCCTTTGCAAATGGTGAAGATGATGTTTTTGTGTTTCTTACTTCTTAAATATTTGTCCATTCATTCATTCAACAATCATAATGAGTCCTTCCTGTTTGCTGGTTATTCCGCCCAATGGGCCTTGGGCATTGAAGTAAGATATGGTGTCCCTTCATTCATACAACAAATATTTACTGAGGCCCTACTACTGTGTATGGGAACTGTTCTAGGTGGTTAGATTCATAGTAATTTTATTTTATTTTATTTTTGGTACTGGGAATTGAACTCAGGACCTTGTGCTTGCCAGGCAGGCCCTTGTGCCACTGAGCTATATCCCTGGCCCCATAGCGATTTTTTAAAAAGGGCAAGAAATGTTTAAACCAGTTCAGAGTAAATTAATTGAAACAAAGTGGCGGGTGTGGTTCCATGGGGCATGCCTGTAATCCTAGCACTCTGGGAGGCTGAGGTTAGAGGATTGCAAATTAGAGCTTTAGGTAATTTAGTGAGACACTGTCTTAGAAATTTAGGTAACTTAGTGAGACACTCTTTAAAAAGGGGGGTACTGGAGATGTCGCATAGGTGTTTATTACACCACTTTTTGACTCTGAAAATTTTTATGATGAAATATTAAGGGGAAAAGCAATAGGAATAAGGCAGGCAGGAATTTGGGAAAAGTTCCCAGAGGATCTGAGGCAGTGTTGCCTCCTCTTCTTCCCCTCAGTTACCTAATATCCCTGTGCCAACCCTGAGCTACGGGCTCATCAAATTCCAAGTTCTGAAAGGCCTTATGTGGGGCGTGGTGGCACATGCCTGTAATCCCAGCATTCCAGAGGCTGAGGCTGGAGGATCTTTGTGAGTTCAAGACCAGCTTGGGCTACAAAGTGAGGTCAAGGCCAGCCTGAACTGCATAGCGAGACCTTGTCTCTAAAAGACAAAAGAAAAAAAAATTAAGAGTATCAGAGAACATAAAAGTTATTTTTGCTTTTAAGATATTTTATGGGACCATTCGCCAATCTCTGAAGCAGCTCAGATAGGCAGCTGTGAAGGAGAGAGTGGCTTCCCAGTACCAGGAAGCAGCTCATGGGAGAGGTTTGCTGGAGGTCACCTCACCAAGCATCATGGAGTGGGTGGGTTTTACCTGGACTTCCAGGTGGCCTCTTCTCCCAAGTCTTTTCTCCAGAAACCTCATAGACTGGAAAGACTTTCACAGAATTCTTTATAGCCCAATATAAGGCCTTCTATTTATTTACTTATTTATTTATCTAGCTTTCTTTAGTGTGTTTTTCAAAATAATTCTCCACTTACGGCAACTTAGTACAATTAAAAGAAAATGCTACCAACTTCAGGTCTATCTTAGACTGCAGGGCTCCATCAGGTCCTAGATACCAGCCCCAAGTTCAGAGGAGCAGAGGCTGGGAATTACTGATCTAATCCCACCTTCCTCCGGGTGCCCTGCAAAACTTCCCTTCAGTTTCTGTCTGTCTCTCTCGTTACTGAGGATGAAACCCAGGGCCTTTTTGTTAAACTACATCCTCTGCCTTTTTTTAAAATTTTCTTTTTATTTTGAGATAGAGTCAAACAAAGTCCCTAAATTGGTCAGATTGGATTATAATTTGCAGTCCTCCCCTGCCTCAGCCTCCCAGAGTGCTGAGATTACAGGCATGGGCCACCAAACCCAGCTCAGGGGTCTTTTCTCTTAAACACTATCAGGGCCTAGACTGTACCAGGCACTAGGCTAAGAATTTTGCACATAATAATTCATTTAGGAGTCTAGTTTTTATTTTTGTTTTTTTTTGAGACAGGGTATCCCTGTGCAGTTCAGGCTCGCCTTGAACTCACTATGTAGTCAGGCTGGCCTAGAATTCACAGTGATCCTCCTGTGTCAGTCTCTCCAGTGCTGGGATTATAGGCATGCACCATCACGACCGGCCATAATGATTTATTAAAACCTCATCAAAAATCTCCAGTTGAAAATGACCATTACAGCTGGGTGTAGTGGTGCACACCTATAATCCCAGCACTCTGGAGACTGAGGCAGGAGGATCCCAGTGAGTTCTTGGCTAGCCTGAACTACATAGGAAGACACTGTCTGAAAACAACAACGAACAAACAAAAAAGGCTATTATCATTTCTGTTCCACAGGACAGCAAAGGAGATTAAGTAACTGGCTCATGGACCTGAACGTGAACACAGAATATGGCTCCAGAGGTGGAGGCTGGTCTTAGTCACAGCTGGTACTGTCCTCCCAGCCAAGTAATGGGCTGCCAATCATTGAAAAACCAGTTCAGTTAAAGGCAGCGATGGATCAAAACGGCACTGTTGTGAACGTTCCCACCAACCCTAACTCCGCGAGAACCTCAGAATTTCGGATGTGAGATGCTGTGGCTAGGAAGGCATTCGTTTTCCGTGGATGACACGCTTCCAATAAAGCCCTGAAGTCACCTCTCACTAGAGTCACAGGAGATCAGGCCTGCTAAGCAGAATGGCGCTCGGGGGTTTCCAAGACAGGAAATATCTAAAGCCAGTGGCTGGCACACTATTTTGGGCAAATGAGGAGGAGAAAAAAAAATGTTATTTTTCTGAAAACACGAGTTGTAAGCCAGGATAAATGGTAAATGACATTAACTCATTAACTTCCTTTCATTGGAAACCTTCCCAGCTTGTTCTCATTTTGTTTCGCATACGTGGGGCATCCTCTCCATTACTTAATCTCTTAGTCCCTTCTCCCCACACCTTTTCTTTAACTTCCTTTGAAATAGGCGGCAGCACCCCACACCCAAACACTCAGTCCCCCGGCTCCGCGTCCGCCCGGTCCTCGGAGGTGGGGAAGCGCTGATCCCGCTGGGTGGGGGCGGCAGCCTCGGGCTCACACCTTTCTCGGAGACCTCGGGCGGCGGCGGCGGCGGCGGGGCCCGGGCGGGGCGGAGGCCGCGGCCTCGGCGAATAGCAGCGCGCTCCCCGCGCGGATTGGAGCAGCGGCATCACGCTGACCTCGGCCTGGGATGTAAACCCCGCCGGCCGCTGCGGGCAGAAGAAGGCTCGCGGCAGCTCCGGGAAAGCCAGCTCATCCGCGGCTCCGAGCGGTGGCCTAGATCTCGGCGGCGCCCAGCGGCAGGAGGAGCCCGGCTAGGGCGCGGGCGCGGGCGGGGAGCGCGCGTCTGATCCCTGGGCGGCGAGAGAAGGGGCGGCGCGAGCCATGGCCGGGGACAGCGAGCAGACCCTGCAGAACCACCAGCAGCCCAACGGCGGCGAGCCCTTCCTCATCGGCGTCAGCGGGGGCACAGCC